CCCCCCCCCGCCGTGAAGTAGCGGCTGCTCCTGAAGTGCTTGAGCACGGTGCAGGAGAGGAGGGTGCCCCCGAAGAGCAGGAAGGAAATGAGGGTGACATCAGGCACATACTGGCAGCTGGTCCCCACGAGGTGCCCACCTCGACCCAGGCACTGGCTCTTGCTCAGCGCGGCTGGAGCAGTGAGAGGCTGCAGGGACAGGGCGGGCAGTGAGGAGGGGTCACACACGGACACTTGGGGCCCACCCTCGCCTGCCCTCCCGGGAGCAGGAGCTGTACCTGCCAGGGAGCCAGGGGTGAGGGGAACGGCGTGTCATTCCCTGCAGAGCTGTGACCTGCAAGGGGACAGTGGGGTCAGGGTGCCAGCACCATGGGGACACTCCATCAGGGATGACTAGGACCGTGCTGCCATCAGGGCGGTTTCCCAGCCTCTTCCCAGGGGCTCAGGGTGCTGGATGGGGCCCCCCGAGATCCCTGAGGTCCCGGCACTGGCTGATGCCCAGGGAGCACCAAGGGCGGATGCCCCTGCGAAGGGCTTGGCTGAAGCACCAACCACTCAGCGGCATCATCGGCCCCAAAGCTGATGCTTTTGGTACACGGTGTGGGTCCCATTTGCAGGATCAGCATGGACGCATCTTCAGGCTCTGGGAAATGCCCAGAAACAGACCGGGCTAGAAACATCAGTGCAAACCCATACAGGTGCCCACCTCCAGCCCTGGGCATCCCCCATCCCGGAGCCATAGGACCCAGACCAAAGCTCTCCTTCCTCCCAGCGCTGCCCTGCCCAATGCCTGGGCAGTGCTGGGAGGCAGGGATGGATGGACAGACAGCATGGAGGAGAGTGGAGGAAGGTGCCAATGTGGTCAGGCAGGCAAGGATGGGATTGAGCAGCCTCCTCCTCCTCCAGTGCCTTCCCCCATCTAGCCGATCGACAGGGTCCCAGTGAGGTCCCAGGGTGGCAGCCCCCTGCTCCCCACCAGCCCCGCAGCTGCTTGGGCTCACTGAGGCTGGACAAGTTGCAGATGCAGCTGTAGGAGGTGGCGTTGCCCAGCCGGTACTGCCAGTTGATGGGGAAGGTGTCCGCCAGGCTCAGCATCTTCTTCAGGGAGTCATAGATGAATATCAAGCTGATGAGGGCACAGAAGCCTTCCTCGGTGAAGCGGGTGAAGTACCGCACCAGGTGGCTGGCCTCAGTGGCCACCAAGACCACACCAAAAAAGGCCACCCAGAGCCCAATCCAGAGGCGAAACTCCAGGTAATCCAGCCTGTGGTCCCTGGTGGGAAGTGTGATCCAAAGCCTCAACAATGACACCTGCCTGGTGTGCTGGTGGCCCGTGCGCTATCCAGGGGACAATGGCCTGAGGAACCATCCCTGGCAGGGTACTCACTGGCTGAAGGAGAAGAGGAGACGCTCGAAAACCAGCACGGGGCCGGTGCTGCTCAGGATGGTCAGGGGCTGGCCAGAAAAGAGGCAGAAGATGGAGCCGGCAAAGGCCGTGCCCAGGAAGCTCTCCAGAACCCCCTGAAACGCAGGGGAGGGGTGCCAGGCATCAGGCATGTGGCAAGAACAGGGGGCCCAGGTCTGTCCCCTGCAGCGGCACAGCTGCAGGCAGCTGCCTGCACCTCCCTGCGCTGCAGGGTGCAGGGTCAGCTCTCAGGAACCGCAGAGGCTGGGGAAGGACGCAGGATTTGGGTGATGCTCCAGGATGACCTGGGGACACCGCTGGCTCCCCAGGCACCGGTGGGAGGTGGGCACCCAGGAGACCCGTGGGCTGGGCCGAGTGGGGTTGTTGCAGCATCCTGCAGTCGCACCAACCTGCATGTTGGCGGTCGCATCCCCCAGCATGCCCCCGAAGGTGATGGCGTTGGTGACTGTCGCCAGGTAGATGTAGAGCACTGCTGAGAGGCACTGTGGGTGGAGGGCATCGTAGAAGTCGCTGCCGTACCATGGCGCCTTCCTCCGGATGTCTTGCAGCAGCCCGCCGAAAAGCCTGGGGCAGCAGAGAGATCCCAGAGCAGCCGCCCGAGCAGCCCCTCCAGCCGGCCATCATCCCCTGAGAGAGCCGCAAGGCAGGGGACAGTCCCTTCCCCAGGAGACACCAGCCCAGTGTGGTTTGGATGTGGTGGCCCCATGTGCTGGGGAAAACCAGCACCCTGCCTGAAATTTGGCATCCCGCTGCACCTCCTGCCACCCTCGTCCTTCCAAGCACCCACCTGCCTGTCCTCTCCAGCTCCTCCCTGGAGTGCAGGTGCCCCAGGCTGGCTCTCTCCCCAGCTGCTGCCATGTCCCCATTGCCACGGGACTGCCGAGCCAGTGACAGTGGTCCTGTGGCAGATCAGAGCCCTGAAGACCCGGCTGTGTCTAGGGGATGCTATGAGGGGACAGGGAGGATGGAGAGGGGACAGAGGAGCAAGCAAGGCTGGGGGGACCTCATTTATCCCCTGATAATGAGGAGGAGAAAGATCAGGAGGAGGAGGAGGAGAGATGGCGGGGTTGGACTGGCTGATCTTCAAAGGTCTGTTCCAACCCAACCATGAAGTCCTCCAGCAAGCCCTGGAGCCTGCCCTAGTGGGACTGTTTTTTGTGGAGAAGCCAGGCAGATCCAGAGTTGTCCTGCTCAGAGGATGAGTTTCATATCTGAGTGCTGAAACCTGGTGTTGCCAGCAGCTCCTGCCTGAGGGGCATGTGGGGCGGTTTTGCCATCCCGTGCAAAGTAGGACAGCAGAACTAACAGCAGCGGGCACCAGAGCTGTGGTCATTAGCTGGAGCTGCAGAGGGGCTTGGCTGGGAGGACCTCACTGGCAAAGGCTGGCTCCTGGGTGGTCTCATGCCCATGGAGACTTCAATGTCGCAGGCAGAGGTCTCCACCTGGGACCCTGCAGAGGGCCTCGCAGAGGCTGCAGGTGTCCTCCCTCCAGCCTACCTCCTGTGAGGAGACAGCAGACAGCTCGGAGGAGGAATTCGGGCACTGGGGTCCCATTTCCCAGGAGGAAGCACAGTCAGCT